AGAAGAATGCAGGAAGAAGAAGAGGATATTGACAACAACATTGATGATATTGCTTCATCAGGAGATCTGTCACCCAGGCAGATAAACAAGTTAAAGGAAAGCAACAAAAAAATATAGGGGAAATGTTGTTCCATTTAATACAACAACAAGGAGTAGGAAGGGGCAGACCAATCAATCTGATCAATGATTAACAAAATTATGTTTTGGAATATTAGATCTGTTAAATCTCAAAATGCTTTTGAGAGGTTAATAGATCTGCAGAGAAGACATCACTACACATATATAGCTCTTTTAGAGCCATTTCAAAGTCCACTGGTAGTAGATGAGTATAGAAGAAAGTTGAATTTACAATATGCTATGGTGAATTGTTCAGCAAAAATATGGATTTTTTGGAGTGGGGATTGGCAAGGGCAAGTAGAGACAGACTCTATACAACAATTAACTATGAAATTCACTCATAATAATGGTCTTTCTATTTACAAAGTTTCAGCAGCATATGCAAAGTGCAGTGCCCTGGAAAGATTAGAGTTATGGGAGGATTTAGAGATGATTGCAATGAATACTCAAGAACCTTGGATAGTGGGGGGAGATTTCAATGTTATTTTAAAAGAGGAAGAAAAGTTGGGTGGTCTACTTGTCACACAACAGGAAACCATTGATTTTGCTCAGTGTTTGAATAATTGTGCTTTAAATGAAATTAGGTACTTAGGAAGTAAATTTACTTGGTGGAATGGAAGAATTGAGGAGGATTGCATATTTGAAAGACTAGATAGAGTACTAGGAAACAATGAATTCATGGAGCTCTTGCCTGATAGTGAGGTACATCATTTGATTAGGGAGGGGTCAGACCATGCCCCTCTTCATGTAATATGTAATGCCATTCAGGAGTCAGTGGCTAGGCCTTTCAATTTTTTGAATTTCTGGACAAAGCATCCAGATTTTAAAAAGCAGGTGAAGGAATGCTGGGCAGGAATAGAGGTAGGATCTCCTTTCACTATTTATCAGAAGAAAAGCAAGAAGTTAAAAGATGTACTAGCTAAATGGAGTAAAGTAACCTTTGGTAACATTTTTCAGCAGATTGCTACATTGGAAGAAGTAATTAAGGTGAAAGAGGCACAATTAGAGATAAACCCATCTGCAAACAATAGGGAAGCAAGGCAGAGGCAAATCTCAAAAAGTTCCTACATTTGGAAGAGGAATACTGGAAACAAAAAGCTAGAATGAGGTGGTTTCAGGATGGAGACAGGAGTACAAAATTTTTTCATTCATATGTCAAGGGAGAAGAAGGAAGTTGCACATAGCTAAAATAAAAAATTCTCATGGAGATCTGATCACCTCAACTCAAAGTATAGGGGAGGAGGCTGTGACAGTGTTCAATGATCAATTCAAGGAAACCAATTTCACAAACAACTATGACATGTTGGAGGCCATTCCTAAAGTGATTACAGGAGATCAGAATGAGATGCTAACAAGATTGCCTAGCAAGAAGGAGGTAAAAGAGGTGGTATTTGCCCTGAATAGTGATAGTGCTAGTGGTCCAGATGGATTTTCGGGTCATTTCTTTCAGACATGCTGGGATATCATAGAAGAAGACATAACCAACATGGTCAAGGCTTACTTTTGTGGTTAGGAATTGCCCAGATTCATAACTCATACTAATTTGGTTTTTCTACCAAAAAAGGAGGAGGTTGATACATTTGGAGACTTAAGGCCTATTAGTCTCAGCACCTTTGTTAATAAGATCATTTCTAGAGTAGTACATGGGAGACTGGCAGTTATTTTACCTCAGATTATTTCTACCAATCAAACAGGGTTCATCAAGGAAAGAAGTATTATTGAAAATGTGTTGCTTGCTCAGGAGATAATAAGAGATATAAGCAAAAGAACTACGTTGCATAACGTGGTAGTTAAGCTTGACATGGCTAAGGCTTATGATAGAGTAACTTGGATTTGCCTTACTAAAGTGTTGAGGAAGTTTGGGTTTGCAGAATTGATTATAGATATGATATGGAGGTTGTTATCAAACAATTGGTACTCTGTCCTTCTGAATGGACAGTCTTTTGGATTCTTCAAGTCTTCAAGGGGTCTCAAGCAAGGGGATCCTATTTCTCCAACTTTATTCATTATTGGAGTTGAAATTTTATCTAGGAACTTAAATAAGTTGTTTGAGGATACTAATTTCAAAGGGTATGGTCTTCCAAAATGGAGCCCTGAAGTGAATAATTTATCATAAGCAGATGATACCATTTTATTTTTCTCAGGACAACCCACTTCAATGAGAATGATGATGAAGATATTAAGAGGATATGAGCAAGTTTCAGGGCAGATGATAAACCTCAACAAGAGTTTGTTTTATATGCATGAAAAGGTTCCTCCTGCTATCAACAACAAGATAAGAGGAATCACATGAATTAGACAGGGCTCCTTTCCTTTCATTTACTTAGGCTGTCCTGTTTTCTATGGTAGAAAGAATAAGGCTCATTTTGAAGATTTAGTGAAAAAGGTGATGAAGAGGATCAACTCTTGGCAGAATAGGTTTTTGACTTTTGGGGGGAAGTATATATTGATTTCACATGTGCTTCAATCAATGCCTATTTACCTACTTTCAGCTATGAGCCCACCAGTCAGTGTTATTAATCAGCTTCATAGTATCTTTGCTAAGTTTTATTGGGGAAATACCACTGGTGCTAAAAATAAGCATTGGGTTTCATAGGATAAGATGTGTTTGTCCAAGGAAGAAGGGGGTTTGAGCTTCAGATCTATTCAGGATGTGTCAACAGCTTTGGTAGCAAAACTTTGGTGGATTTTCAGGGTGAACACATCTCTATGGAGTGCTTATATGTGGAATAAATATTGTAAGAAGTTACATCCTATCCTAGTGCAGGGCAGAAGAGCTTCTCATATATGGAGAAAAATGATTAGGGTAAGGGAAAAAGTTGAACATCAAATCTGGTGGTAGGTTCATGCTGGAAACTCAAGCTTCTGGTTTGATAATTGGACAAAACAAGGTGCACTTTATTACATAGAAGGGAATCATGCAGAGGAGGAGGAAATTGAGGTGAAAGAATTCATCAACCAAGGAAATTGAGATATCCCTATGCTCAGGAGTAAATTATCAGAAGAGATGGTTGAGCATATTGTGGATACAATCAAACCTCCAATAGAAGGAAGAAATGATGATAGACCATGGTGGATGGCCAACAACAAAGGAGTTTTCTCAGTTAAATCAGCCTGGGAACTTGTGAGAAAAAGTGATGAGCCTAAACAGTGTTATGAATTAATGTGGGCAAAGGGAGTTCCTTTTAAGATTAATTTCTTTTGTTGGAGAGTGGAGGAAGAGAATTGCAACTGATGATAATCTGAAGAGGATGAAAATTACAACGGTCTCCAGATGTCATTATTGTGACACTTATGCAGAGGAAACCATGAGCCATTTATTACTAACAGCTCCCATAGCCAACAGGCTATGGAAGCAATTTGCTATTTTTGCAGGTATCAACATTGACAACATGCACTTACAACAAGTAATAATTTATTTCTGGAGGATTACAGGTCCATCAAAATTGATGAGGGTCTGCAGAGCAATACCCTCTTTAATAATGTGGACACTATGGAAGAGAAGAAATGTCAGAAGACATGGTGGAGACATCAATTTCCACAACATGGTGGTACATGTTCAGAAACTAATAAGGCAACTGATTGTGATGTGGTTCCCACGGATGAAAAGATTACCAGATGACTGGCCAACCATGGTGCAGGTGCTTAGGATGTACAAACCCAAATTGTATTACCAATCAGTAGTTTGGAGACCCCCTGAAGGTACAATTATTAAGTGTAATACAAATGGGGCTTGTAGAGGCAATCCAAGATTGAGTACATATGGGTTTTGCTTAAGAAATAGAGAAGGAAATCTAATCTATGCTCAAGCAAAATCCATTGGAGTTACTACAAATATGGAGGCAGAGGCAAGAGCTATTTTGGAAGCTTTAAAGGTCTATAAATAGAAAGGATTACAAAATGTTATCTTAGAAACAGATTCTTTATGTATGATGAATTTTTTAAGAGGAATATGGAAGATCCCATAGGAGATGGCAAATATATACCAGGCAATTATTAGCGTACTACATCTGCTAAACATCCATGTCACACATGTTTACAGGGAGGGAAATTCTCTTGCAGATTCAATAGCAAATAGGGCTTATGAGCAAGAAGGCAAGCATATATACAATAATTTTCAAGAGCTTCCCAACATTTGTAGGAAGATTCTGAATGCAGATAAGTCATAAATCCCTAATCTTCGGATCAAAACACGTAATATAAGAGAAAGTACAGGGCAATTTCAGCAGCAGTAATTGACAAACTAAGAAAACAGACATTCGATGTTTATCATCAGATCATAACACACTTGTTCAAATTAATCAATGAAGTTAGGGATACATAACAAGATCCAGAAAAATAGAGAAGGAAAGTACTGGACTGGGCATCAGAGAGACTACGATGCAAGCGAGGGCTGGAACCACCTGAAATCAGAACAAAATGGAGCTACGAATTAAGAAGGAAAAGAAAGGAGATCGGAAAATGGGATACACTCACCATGGCAGCTGCAATATGCATCAATGAACCTCATCTTCGTTCTAGGAGGAAGAGCTACAGGGGCGGGGTGGGGGGGAGGGGTAAGATTAGAGAGACTACATTTAGACATATCTTTAGGAGTGTAGAATATTAGCTTTTTGTTTTTTTTTTGTTTTGTAATAATTGGGTCGGGTCACTCTTGGACTTGCGTTGAATATTCTGCTCCTTTAATAAAATGGTCCAAGGGACCAAAAACTTTAGTTAAAAAAAAAAAAAAAGTGATAAGAAAAAATAAAGGAAGAAATATTTAATTATGTAGATATTTTCGGAGAATATATCATCAGGCCCGAGTCCCAACCAAAATTTGCAACCAAGTGCCACGTGTTTCAATCATCATAGAAACCAGTTGGGTGCTTTTTGAAACTCGCGCTTCCTTGCATGGAAAGACTAAACTATAAATAAAAGGGCAGAGAGACACACAAATTGTGTAAATCAGAAATGTTGAAGGAAGGTATGCTACTCGTTTTCTTAGCGATTACGCAATTCTCAAACGCTGATGAACCCTTCGACGTTCGGAAACACCTTGCCACTGTAACCAGGTCGATTTGATCCGACATATACATGGAACTAGGGTTCTACATTTGTGCATCTACTCTCAATTTTCAATTTCTGATGCAAAATTTGGTGTTTATTTGAGCGCTCCATAGCCGTTGGCGTTTCCATTTACTCCACTTTTTGTTGGCAGGTATGCTGATTCGAAGGACATATCCGGGAATTCTTTCGTATCTTCTGAAATTCCAGATCAATGTACACCAATTCATTTGAATCTAGTGGTGAGTTTGTTTTCCTTGATGTGGAACCAATCTTAATTAATTTATGATCATTTTAGGAGTATTATCCAAATACATTCATGTACCGGGTAATTACCTATTTTTTGCTGATAACTGGCAGATTGATAAAATGTTCATGTTAAATAAGAGCATGGAAATTGTGGATCCAACAATATTTAACTGATGCTTGTATGTGAAATTATGTGCTTACACGTTGAGGAGTGAACTATCTCAACTAGTATTAATCTCTTGATATATATCTAGGGTTTCTTGACATATATGTGTTAGATTTAGTCTAGGGAGGGCTATACATACACGGTATTTTGGTGCCAGGTGAAGTTTGTCTGCATCATACCATTTTGAAAGAAGAAAATTTCATGCTTTTTTCAAATGAGAAAATACTGTGTACATTAAAACAGCAGCGGAAAACACATCCAAAAGTTTAGATTGCTAGCTAATGTTTTGGAATTTTCACCAAAGAATTTTAGATGAAGAGAACTCACTAATTTTCACTCACTACACCATTAAGGTCAAATTTTGCAGAACCTTTATGGATATATTTTTCATTTAGAGCGTCTTTACTTCTTTGCTCCCTCCATTTTCATTAGAAATGCTTCTATACCACTTTAGTTATTATTTTGGCACTTAACATGCTTTGCATTCTCTCTCACTTGCTCATCATAAGGCATCTAATTTTATGGTAACATGCAGACTCTTAGTTTGTTCCCATGCTGCATACTCTGTATTCTCTCAAATTATATGATCGAGGAGACATAGAGATCTAGTGCACCACAGAGATTTGAGTTGAAGTTCTTTATGGATATCTGGCTGATGATAAACTTAAGTAATTTGGCTGGAATTTCTGAAGTAATGCTTTTTCTGTAAGAGATGTTTTAAGAGATAATTTGTTGTGATTGCTTTCTTGTTCTTTGATAGGCAAGACATGGCACTCGTGCACCAACAAAGAAGAAGATAAGGGAATTAGAAGCCTTGGATGCTGATTTGGAAGTCCTTGTACGTGATGCAAAAGAGCATAAGCAATCTTTGGAGAAAATTCCCGCTTGGTTAGCGGGATGGAGGTCTCCTTGGAAAGGAAAAGTTACAGGTGGAGAGTTGATCGCTGAAGGAGAAGACGAATTATATCATCTCGGAATTAGAGTCAGAGAAAGATTTCCAGACCTTTTCAATGAAGAATACCACCCAGATGTATATTCAATCAAGACTACCCAGGTTGATAGATTAGTTTATTACTTCTTTATATTCAGTCTGGGACAATGTCAAAGCATGACTAGGGTCATCCTATTGAATAAAGAAGAAAGCATGACTGAAGTCATCCTTCCCCCTCCCGTTTTCAATACTAGACAAATAACTTTTGCAACAAATGATATAAAAAATCTAACATGCTAGCCGTAGTTGAAGAGCCAAATTTCTCTAGGAAATCATACATCTTTTTATTATTGAAAAACAAAAGAGGATATCTCATCATCTTGTGAGCTCAAGGATTTTTGGTCCTTTGACTTGCACTTTGCCTTGTCTTCATGCTTCCTGTGTTCATGGGTCATGCAGATGATTTCCAAATAAATAGACGACAGGGATATTTGTAGAGGCTTTTGTCTTTATTGCTGCCTTTGTCAGGCAACTCACATGGCTTTAGAAGTTGCAGCGAAGCGTCTTTATTTATCCACCAAAGCACATCTTAAGTTCCACATAATTAAGTGCTGCATCAAGAATTCAATTGCTTTACAAGTATTTGAATTTGCATGATTGGAGAACTTATCTACATTCTACAAATATGCCCTTTGTATTCAAAGGTTCCAGTCTTCTAATTCCATGTCAACTTCTTGTTACTTTCTCAGTCATATTGCATTCAATATTCATGTTACATATATAGGTTCCTCGGGCATCAGCTAGTGCTGTGGCATTTGCGATGGGTCTATTTAATGAAAGAGGGAAGCTTGGACCAGGAAGGCATCGAGCTTTTGCAGTTACCAGCGAAAGCCGTGCAAGTGACATAATTTTGAGATTTCATGATTGTTGTCAAAGCTACAAGGTACGCATGCAAATTTTATCTGCCTTTATGGTGGAGATTTTCTGTGTGAATAACATCAAAATTAGTTTCCATTCATGCGTTTTAACTAGTTTTTTGAGCTTTTGCTTGTAAATTGGGACTTGAAGTAATAATAACTACATCAATGCTGGTTAACATAGAGTGTAAACATTGTTTGATTGTTCTCAAAAGCTTACAATTTTGTGTCACATGAAGTCTCTTTCCTCAAATAGCAAAGTTTAACATCTCCTAAAGGTGTCAAAATAATTAGACGCTGACTACGCTGCGACTGAGCTAATGGAGATTAACTTATTATTGAAGATGTTGCTGGAAGTATAGAGCACAACTTATAATATGGGTTAAGTTATTTGTGGTTTGCATAATTTTAAGAGTTTAATGCACATAGAAATGCAAACTTGCTTTCATTTATCGACGAAGTGCTAACTCTGCATGTTTCTGATTTGAAAATAAAAATAAAGGAGTGTTCTGTATTGTACACTATTACTACTTTTCTTTTTAAAAAAGTAACCACCTTTGTTGTCTCTCTTACTCCTTTTTATGAATGTGGGTGCTATCTGATCTAAAGAAGACTTAAGCAAGACTTACAGATAGGATGTTATTTCTTTTTGGGTTTTGGTGTGTGGGTGGGGGTGTGATTGGAGAGTTGAGTGAGCAACAAAATTATGATACTTTTTCATTTGGTTGCAGGCTTTTAGAAAAAGTCAGGAGCCAAATGTGGACAAGCTCAAAGAACCTCTATTGAATGAAATTACTCGTGAATTAGTCGGGCAATATGGGCTTAATTTTACAAATCAAGATGTATCTTCTTTATGGTTCCTCTGCAAACAGGTGAGTATAGTACTATTAGTGTTCTGATGAGTGCTGAACCTTGTATAAATTTTATCTAAAACTTATTTCCTAAATGACTTTTCCCCCAGGAAGCATCCTTGTTGAACATCACCAATCAAGCTTGTAGTCTGTTCAGTCCATCTGAGGTAGTTTGTGCTAATCCTATTCTTGTTTTCTTCGTTTCTATTTCCTGTTTTGAGTTTCGTGGTTCCTGCTGCTCTATGTTTTTTTTCCTTTTCATTTTCTTGGGGGAGAACAGGGGGGGAGGGGTCGTGTAGCTTTCACAATTCCCTTTTTATCAACAACTTGTTATGAATGGGAAGTGGAAACTATAACTTATAACATCATCTACAAAAGGTGTTACTATTTTTAATTTCCTAAAAAAAATTATACCTATTGTTGTAGATTCCTGTGCTGTACACAAGCTCCCTTATTGTTTTTATTGGGTCATAATGTGGAATGCAGGGAGAGGGTGAGAGATTAGTCCATCTCCTTTGATGTTTGATTGAAACATATGATTTACTTGTTGTGCTCCACAAATTTTATGTACATCTCCAACTTTTCATTTATATGGAATATTTGAGCTTTCTTGTTGCCATCCCTGGTTACTGACAAGTCCACATTTAGGTTTCTTTGTTGGAGTGGGCTGATGATTTGGAGTTGTTCATTCTGAAAGGCTATGGTGACACACTAAATTATCAAATGGGAGTGCCACTGCTTGAGGATGTTGTTCAATCAATGGAACAGGCAATTAAGGCTAAAGAAGGTGATACTCGTTCAACAAGCTTTTCTTTCTTGTCTTTCATTTTTTCCTGGGGGTTAAATAGTGTTTCCTGAGGAATATGGATGTCTTATTCTTCCCTTGTTGCTGCTAACGAGATCACAAAGGAAGAGATAGTTATGGTGTAACTGATGATTACTCAAACCAAACCAGTAAATGTAATAAGATCTTTGTAATCTCTCTAGTATCTCCTTCCAAGTAATCTTGAAAATTTATATCCCAGATTGGCCACTAAATTTGCAGATTCTGTCCTTATTCCTTGAATTTAAGCTTCAACCATATATCTTTCCTTTGTAATATGATTTGTGTATTTCTCTCTAGTCTCCCCTTCCAAGTAATCCAGAAAATTTACATCCCAGATCAGCCACTAAATTTGCAGATTCTGTTATTATTCCTTGAGGTTTAAGCTTCTATTTATAAGCTGTCCTTTCAACTAGGTGCTTCTTCTGTACAAATTATCCTCATATTGTTGATTCCTAGTATAATGCCTCCCTGTATCACTTACTCTAGTCTATCTGAAACTCTTCTATCCTAGTAATGTCATTTTTCATCATGTATGTGTATGTATGTCCTAAACTGAACTTAGATCCAAACAATAAATTTGTTTATATGTGAATCAATTATACTCCTGAGGGTAATCTGTATCTAATTTTGTATTTCTTTTATTTTCACCTTTTCTTAATCTCTTCTGTACATTCTCCTCCTTCAGAAGGATATGCTCCAGGGATCTATGAAAAAGCAAGAATGCGTTTTGCTCATGCAGAAACTCTCCTTCCCTTTTCATGCCTAATCGGGCTCTTTCTTGAAGAATCTGGTGAGTGTTTGTACAGTAGAATTAGAATAGTTATTGGCTCCTACTCTGATTTTTTAATCTGTTTCTGATTGCTGCAGAGTTTGAACTGATACAAAGAGAGGAAAGCTTGGAACTCCCTCCTAAGCCTCCTAAAAATAGAAACTGGCGGGGAAGTATTGTGGCTCCTTTTGCTGGAAATAACATGTTAATCCTTTACAGCTGCCAATTGGACAACTCAAGCAAGTACTTTGTGCAAGTGCTACATAACGAACGTCCCATTGCATTGCCAGTAAGTGTTTTCTGCATTCATATTATGGTGAATATGCATATGTTTGGTCCTTGCATTGCAATTCATTTTCTCTGATTACTAGGACACTTCATGCACCTTTTAATTAAAAAGAAATACAATGTTTCACTGGCAGCCTAGTCCATGTTGCTCAATTAGTGGTTTTGTCCCAATCGTTCATCTGATGTGATTATGTCAGAGCAGTGAACTTATACATTCATAAAATGCCTTATTTCCATGTTACCTTTCTCAAAAAAAAAAAAAAAAAAACCTTATTTCCATCTAATTTTGGGAAGTTCATAAGCCCACGAATACTTTCCTGTGAAACAGTTTGTATCGGGGTTACCCTTAGGTAAGAATGACGGTGTAAGCTTTCATTTTGGCTTTTTCTTTGCGTGTTCTCTTTTGTGTCATTTTTTTCTTTTATAATAAGATTTTCTAAAAGAGTGACTGGACAATCACATTACTTATAGAAACCACTTGTCAAAATACTGCTAACAACTTGTGCTACAGGTGACATATATTTGTTCCCTTTGGGAATTTTGGTGGTTATTTATTACTTGCTACTTTTCCCATTCTAATTTGATGCTTCTCTCTGTTCTTGTAGGGTTGCAATGGTTCGAGCTTTTGCCCGTTCGAAGTATTCAAGGTATTGGTTTCATATCTCAATAGATGTTTCAACTTTACTGAGACATAGGCTATCCTGCAAGTTTCACCCATTCTAACTGTCCTCTACAGGAAAAAATAGTTGCTCCTCACTTGAAACATGACTACAACATGCTTTGCGACGTAATAGAACAGAAACAAATGGTTTCTGCTTCGAGTAAGTTATCACAAATACTTACTTGGTTTTGGTCACCGAGGAATGCTGGTTCATTGGGCTAGAAAGATGATTTATAGTTATCACAAGTTTTCTTCTTTTCTTATTCTTTTTGATCTTTTCTATGTTTGGCTGGTTGTGTCTGCTTATTAGCATGATTCAATCGTTAGGCCATGCAGATGATCCTGGCAGGTTACGATTGCTAGGCCAAATACTGCATGGATGAAGTTTAGGGGTGACTCAGTAACTGGTGGATTTTTGGAGGTCTAACTATAGGTAGCAAAGAAGGAATATAATTAGTGAAAATCCTTACTAGTGTTACTTGTATGTTTTTCACATACGGGAAGTTTGTGTAATGGCCAAATTCCTAGAGTATGTCGATCTTGATTTGGCTGGGCCATCCGCACTTACATATTATGTTAACATAGATTTTGCAACAACCTTAACATAAATATGACACTCAGATTTGGTTACTAATCCATTTTTAATTGGGATGTGTTGGATGATGGATTTTGCTCTTGTAACGGAAATGTCCCTAGGCATCTTTCATTTCTGTTGAAAGGGAAGCTAAAGCTTGAGGAAGAAGAAGAAGTTTATGGAGAGAGAATAAGGATTAAGAGAATCAAATTGTAATTCTCATTTCTGCAATAATTCCAAACACATTGTAGCTACTCCTATTTATACAATTCGCTAACCGGCTATAATTATCTCTAACTACAGATATTAGCCTAACTACGAATGTGCAACCTGCATTAGCCTAACTAACTTAGTACAAATATCAACAATTATGATAGATCCCTGAACACATTAATCATTCCCAACTTTCTAATAAGGTAAGCATGCTGCTATCTTTCAGTCCCTTAGTCAACACGTCTGCAATCTGTTCTTTACTGCCCACATGATCTGTTTCTGATCAGTTGTTGTAATTTCTCTTTTCTCAAGGTAAAAAGTGATACATTTGGGAATACTTCGAGCCCGTTTGGATTGATTTAAACATAGTAGTTTTAAAGTCAAATTTAAATCACTTTTAAGTCAAAAAATAATAAGTAGGGGGAGACCTAGTTTTGGTTTTCAACTTATTTTAAGTTATTTTTAATCTTGTCAAACACTTTCTAACTTATTTTAAGTCATTTTTGACTTATCTTAAGTTATTTTTATATTCTTCAAATATTTTCAGAAGTCAAAAACTAACTTAAAAGTAGTTCCCTTATACTCTTACTCAAATCATGTTTAAATTTTTTTCTCAAAACGTCTCAGAAAATCAGTTTAAAAGAATATTTGCGTTAAAAGATTCTCAAAAATTACAACTCAAAATAGGGTTCATGTTGAAATATAGACATGAACAAATCAGCACAAGGATCTCAATAACAATATAGAAAACTCATACTCAGTACTCAACGATACTACTCATCTCAAGAATACTCAAAATCTAAGAATTTAGGACTCAAAATCAATAACTTAACTCATATCAAGAATTTAGGACTCAAAATCTAAGAATTTAGCACTCAAAATCAACAACTCAACTCATATCAAGAATTTAGAACTCAAAATCAATAAAATAACTCATATCAATAATTTCTCGAAACTAAGGGTATAACCCTAAATTAAACTTTTATTGACTGAATTGAGATGTAGGGTGTGAGAAAGAACTCAGTCCATCACTATGAATAGTCTCACATACATTATTATGAAGCTATTAGTCTGAAAACTTTAGTGTAGACTTCATTTATCTTGAGCTTGAAGAAGAACATTAGTTTTCTTGGAGGAAATCTTTTAGCTTGGAATCTTGGGACTTGATCTTGAAAGAAGAAACTCTTTTTGAAGTTCTTAGAGTGGAAGAACTTGGGAAAACCTTTGATGAAAAGTTTTCTCTTTGTATTTTGAATTTTTTGACTTGAAGGTTTTAGGGATCTTGATGGAAAAGAGGAACTCTAGGTGAGTTTTAAGAGAATCTCTAAATACTTGAATGTCTAGATTGATGATTATGAGGAAAACTTGTTAGTTGAATGATATACTCTGTTAAAACACTCAAAAACGACTTAGAATAGTTTTAAAAAGCTTGGGAAAGGACAAAAATAACTCTATAACGTGTGCAGGAAGTTGCTGAAAATAATTGTAGCAAGCCTTCACGGAAGGGTCTACGGTTCGTGGAAATTTCCATCGTCCGTAGGTCCAGTCGTAGAACATCGTTTACTAGACATGGCTTCACTAAAACGAGCATAACTTTTTACTCTAAACTCGAAATGAGGCAAACTTGGTGGTGTTGAAAAGAGGACTCATAGACCCTTAATTTAATAGGTCATGACCACCTAGTTCATTATATGTTGATAGATTTGATCGTTTGAAATTAACCTAAGTATAATCTTATCTCAAAATATAATCAGTAGGAAAAATTTCAACCTAACTTTGTGCAAAGGTTTCTTGTGACCTTAATTATGTGTAAAAACATTGGGGTATAGGTTTAAAAATGGTAAGAAAAGACTAAAAACAACCCCTCTCAAACACCGAAAGAAGTCATTACGGAAGGTCATCTACGGTCCATACAAAAGTCTACGGACCGTAGACCCTCTCGTAGAAAACATGTTGGATTTTGGATCTCTGAAGTTGGGGTCTATGGATCTTTTCTACGGCCCGTAGGAACTTTGACGAGTCATCCTACTAAATTGTAGGAACCTTACTGGGTTGTTTCAGGACTTGGGTTCCACGAGGCCTTTCTACAAACGTAGAAGGTTCTACGAGCCGTAGTCTGGTATGTGAAACTTGGACGTGAGGATAATTTTTCAGAGCATGGTTCTACAAACCCACCTATAGTCCGTAAATACTTTTATGAGTCGTAGATTTCTTTCGTGGGACCAATCTGAAGAAATTTTTTCAAGGTATGATTTGAGTTGAAGTTTTTGGGACGTTACAATTATCTTCATATTATCACCTAGATGGTCATTCATGCCATATTATCAAAAAAAGACAATATTATCACATAGAGGAACATTCATGTTATATAATCAAAGGAGATCATCGCCTAGAGGGATATTCATGCCATATTATTAAAGGAGATATTATCACTCTCGAAGGGACATCATCTTCATTGCCCAGAGGAACATCATTTTCATATCGTTGCAAGAAATCCATCACCATAATATCATCGCTAAAGAGGCCATCAAGGTATTGCATCACGTCAACTCATTACTTATTACATCAAAATCAAAAGAGGATAATGTTCGAGAAATATATTATAAATCGCATCAGCTTTGGAAGTGGAGGATGTGAGCTTTATTTGATTTACGTCAAACTGAAGAAGTGACATCAATTTTTCAAAGAGATGACTACCCGTCAACATAGTAAAGCGCACAATCTCTCTATTTGAATTATATTTTGTACTAATTAGTTTTATCTCAGCCTCTGTCGAGAGATTTCGAGAGATGAATTCTCAATTGAACCACAAATGAGGACAACATAAAAAAGGATGCGGCACAACGTATAATTTTTTCTTAGACCCGAACTGGGACATAGTTTGAAGAGGAATATCAAACTCTTTGGACGTAAGCTAAGGAACGACTTCCATCACAGTCAAACCACGCACCCTATCAAAAGGCATGTGTGTATTTTTTGGGTTTATCGGTTACAGTTTTGCATCCAGAAAACTTCGACTCACATCGAAGGCAACTTTTCGTTCCAAATGAAAATGCACCAAGAGCTTTGAAAATTATATCCGTGTAAGTTCTTACTTATGGATATGAAGATCTCCATATTCATGGCTAAGAAGTTGCAAGCCACTTTTTCATAATTCGACTAAATTTTCATCTTTCAGAACCGAAGGTTAGCTTGACATACTAGATTTCCTTTTCAACTGATCGAGTTGAACTGCAACCAACCCCATTCCCAAGGTTTATGGATGTCGGCGAGATCAATGTTGAAAACTTGATTGTATACTAACAATCTCTCTTAAATCTTATTCTCGAGCATTCCAGTTTCTTCATAATTTGATATTGGGATAAATTTTGAATTCTTTCAACATTGTGCGCCAAATCAAGCATCTTATCGAATTATAAGTTGCCTGAATTCTCATATAGCCCAGGATATGTAGGACATCCGATACCGGGATCCGACCATAATTTCTCAAAGCCCGTACAATATTCCTTTCAGGTGGATGAAGATGTGGTTGGCCAAAATTGAATTTGTCAATTTTCTTTGCCCAAGATCTCTTTTATCGACCCTATCCGAAGAAAGGGATAATTGTTAACATCCAATTTCGGCCCTG